TTATATATCTATCGTTTATATAGCCTATAATAATGTATTCACATTTAAATTTGTGAATATGCTAATTCACTCAGCGCGAAAAATGCCAGCGTTCCCGCACAACAGAAATTTTCACTTTTCAGTATTACATTTGTACAATAAATGGATTATACATATTAATTTAAGACATTAAAATCAATAATTACTAATGAGTTATATACTAAATCAATAGCTTCTAGTGAGCACACAATAAATCTTCGAATAACATTACAATACTTACCCACCGGCTAGCATTGGCAAAGATCGAATAGACCCGTCTTCATCAGGATTTCCTAAATTATCGGAATCACCAATGATAACAGAGTTGGTTATCAACTGTCCTCCAGTACGCCATCTGTGGAAATGTGATGTAAACAACAAATATATAAATATATCTTCTAAAAGATGTAAATCGTATGTTGCAACTTAAAGGGCCCCGTGATAGACGAAAGTTCACTTGCAATAGACGATTTTTTTCCCTCCGATCACACAGAAAAAAAATGAATATTTTTGTATTTATGAGTACCATTTCTGTAATGGAAAAAAATCCCATTTCTATCGATATGTGAATCACTATTTCGACAACATAGATACTTCACATTACACGTTATAAAACATGATTTCGTCAACACAACCATTGATAATGTACACATTTTTGTACCAGTATTTCCACTTTACGCAAAGACTATGTAGTAGTGTATTGGGGAATAGTATAATTATTACAAACCTCAGTAACTGCACTCCATTTACAGCGTCAGCAACCCTAAAACCATTAAAAACAGTGTTATATCATCTGTAATATTACAATGTTTGTATTGTTATATGTAGTTTTAAATTGTTGTTACTGTCAATGTTTGTTTTAATATGAAGATTTGAATAGTTTTGTAGTGTCACTTGTATGAACACTGTTGTTTAATAATTGTATCAATATATTATGTATACATTAAAGTAGGGTATTTCAAAATATATTACGATACAGGGCTGAAAATGTTATTATTGCCATTTTATCAATAGAAAGGGTTAAGACGCGTTTAAACAATGATGTACTGCAATTATTATTTACTATGTGTATCATTATATAAGGTTATATGTTCATATTTCATACTGTTCATATAGTATATTGTAATACTTATGTTAATATTACATAAACGATATAAATGCATTAGTCCTAGCTTATTTATGTATCAAATGCATGCAATAATTGCTGAATAGTAATTTATGTAAAACAGTATAGCCTGGTAATTACTTACGAAGATTGGGTGAGTTCGATTAACCCTCTCGTCATGACGTTGTAAAATCTATTCTTGTATGCTGTAAAAACAAAGCAGAGGGGTGAACCTGTTAGAAAGTACAGATCAAGCAAGCAAAAACCAGAGAAGATAGAAAACGTCCTATAAGGGGGTTTGTACTAAGTTTTAACCATTTGTTAATACATCTAGCGTTAAAGGCTTACAAACCTACGGTTGGTTTAAACTTTGTTTTATTCAAATTTTGTTTGACAATACA